TCGGTCGTTTGCGCAACTTGCCATAACTTTCTTCTAGATGGGCCAATCTTTATGCTTTTGATTTCATTTTGTTGCACTTATTGAGATCTACAAAATGACACCAAAAACATAAAGATTGGCCGACTTAGAAGAAAGTTATGGCGAGTTGCGTAAACGATCCAGTTTCGCAAAAAAAAGTTGCGGAAACTAGCCTACCCCAACAAATCGATAAATACTTTAAATGTACACAAATAATATTAGATATTAGAAATAGAAATAGATAGAACTCTAGTTGATCTAGAAAGTCTCGAAAGATAGAAAGTTGTAATTGTAAGTTTAAAAGCAAGTTTTTAAAGTCACCAACAAGTTACTGTTTCAATTTTTCGATCTTTCAGAGAATTACTTACTTTTGCGTCTATTTGACAGTTTTTAGCTTGCATAAATCTTTAAAATCTGAGCCTGAGCCTCAACCTTTTGTCATTTTGCGAATTAAGATTTAAGCAAATCATGATGATCTGCCAAGAAATCTTCTGCATTCTCATCGAATCTCAACGTTAATTTTGTTGACTTGTGAACCACCTGTGAACATTTTCACCATTTCACCAGCGAGGTTTTACAACTAGAATTCAAATTGTAAAGACAGCTTACACGAAAACTTTTTCTTCATCACTGAAAGAGTCGAAAAATACTGAATATCTCAATCTAGACTGAATACTGTAATCCAGCTGATTTAAACTGAATATCATAATCTAGCCTGAATATCCTATTCTTAACTGAATACCTTAATCTAGACTGAATATCCTAATCCAGACGAAAGATCCTAATCTAGACTGAATACCGTAATTCAGTCTAGATTAGGATCTTTCTTGATAGGCCTACTTGAAAGTCATTCTTGGTAGTGCCTCCGTATTTTTATTGCAAAAATAAATATGCAAATCCTTTAATTTTATTTAAATAGAAGGCAGACTTCGATTTGGTAAATAGGGGAAAAAGTTTTCTGGTTATTGCCTTTTGCGCTGTTGCTTGCCGAGAAACGCCTGAAACGCCTAGCGTGACACGGATAAATCCCAGCTTAATCACAAATTTTTAAGCTTTCTTGAAAGAACCAAAAATATGATTTTCACATTTCCGAATTTCTCATAGAAAGACAACTGTTAGAAATCGATCTCCGTCATGATTCGATTTCTTAAAGTAAGTTACCGATTTTTAGATCCTGATTCCCGTTGTCTTCTTCAGGTTAAGGTAGACGAATTGCTGGACGAATGCTGGACGAATTGCTGGATGAATTGCTGGACGAATTGCTAGACGAATTGCTGGACAAATTGCTAGACGAATTGCTGGACGAATTGCTGGACGAATTGCTTCTTGATACATTGACGGATAGCGGATACATTGATGCCTGAGTGTTGACTCTCAGTGACAAGCCGTTGACTCGAATCGACTCGAAAAATGAGGTTTAGCTTTGTATTTTTAGGGATTTTAGAGCCCAAAATACAAAATTTTTACCGCAAAAGTGGATTTATAGCTTTTGCTGACTTTCCTAAACCGTATCTTGAGCTTTTTGCTTTGGGGCAGAGTTCGATTGGAGGGGAATGGTGAAATTTAGTTACAGTGTCACTGAGAATTTCACTCTCAGGTGGCTATCCGTCAATGTATCAAGAAGTAATTCGTTTCTTAGCTTTATCACAAACAGAGTGTGTACATCTCTACCCGTTTCCTAAACCGTGTCCTAAACCCTGTCCCACTTTCCCCCTTTTCTACCGTTATCTTGTCTATATTTTTGTTTCAATCTATCCACTTTTTTTATTTTTTGTAAACCCTCACACAATTAGACAAAGAAATAGAGACAAGATTACGGTAGAAAGGGGAAAGTGGGAGACGGTTTAGGAGACGGTTTAGGAAACGGGTAGAGAGGTACACACTCTGTTTGTGATAGAGCTAAGAAACGAATTGCTTCTTGTTAGATTGACGGATAGCTACTTGAGAGTGAAATTCTCAGTGACACTGTAACTAAATTTCCAGCATTTCCCTTCAATCGAACTCTGCTCTAAAGCAAAAAGCTCAAGAGTCAGCTCTTTTCTTTTTGATCTTGTTTTCAGTCTAAAGATAAAAGATCTGCAAAGAAGAAGAAAAAAGAATGCAAAAGCTATCAATGAAAAGAGTTGTGGTGATGTGTAACAAGCAAGAAATAGAGAAAAGTCATTAGATTTTTGGGGAAAAAAGGGTAAATGAATGAGAAGTTGGGTCACTTCAAAAGCTAAAAAGACAAAAGCTAAAAAGACAAAAGACAAAAGACAAAAAGACAAAAAGACAAAAGAGAAAAAGACAAGACAATTTTTATGTGAAACACACACGACAATCTCAATTGTTTTGGAAATGGGATTCGGGCGAGAATTGAGCGCTAATCTTGGGAGAAACAGATGTTTTTGGTTGGAAAAAGCGCTGTTAACGCCAAAAAAACGCCAAAACGTCAATCCAGAAGCCACGTTTAGAAAGAGAACATCTATCTATCGAAAGGGAAAGGGAATATCTATCTTATCTATCTTATCTATCGAAAGGATATGCCAAACGGCGAGCGATTAGATGGGCAGACAAAGAGCACTTCGCCACTCATTTACACAAGCTTTCCTTTTTTGTAGATCCCATAAAAAGAAGATATTCAGCTGTAAATTTGTATCCGAAAGTTTCCAGGATCAGCAAATCTATTGGAGGTATTCATTGATTAAGTCTACCAAAAAGAAACTCGAGTTTTTATGTACTAATCTTTCAATAAAATCAGTTTTTCACTTTTCTGCCTCAAATCCATCACAAAACAGTCATTTTTTTTTCTTATTTTTCCACTAAGTTTAGGATATCCGGATCTCCAGGAAAGAGGAATTGAGTGATTGTGTGTGCCGAGTCGGGAATCTCTTTTCGATTTGCCCCTTTTCGCACATCACATCACACCCAAACGGACACTATGTTACACAACAAATGAAAACTTCCATTTTAACACCGTTTTATAGATTTTTCATTTATCAATTAAGGTTTAAAAATTAAAAGTGATTTCATGTATCAAAAATCCCAACCTTTTTTGTTTTCAAATCACTCTTTACTGTTTTCTTAAGTTCAATGCTAATTTTTAATGCTTTTCGAGATTTTTAATGCTTTTTTTAATGCTTTGCAAGTCTATTTACTTGTTTTTACTGTATTTAATCACAAAATTTGATGAGAAATCAAAAAATCTGATCATCTACAATGAAAATCAGCTTAGAATCACAAGCTTTTTAAATCTTAAAATAATGTTTTAAAAATTGAAAAAATCATGTTTCAAAGCGTTCGATTAGACGATGAAAACTCAAAATTTTAAAAGTTGAGTTTCAAAGTAAAATGAGTTAAACTCGATTTCTCTAACTTATTTCGTCTACTTATTTTCGTTTCATCAACGTTTTGCCTCTTTGGTCATCCTTGAAAACTCATTTAGCCAGTTTTTCAGTTTTCCCTCCAATAAACCTCGAATAAACCCTAAATTTAGTGTTTCAAAACAATGAAAAACTAGATTAGTTTCATTAAATTCGGTGAAAAAACGAGAAAAGCAATGGGATTTTTCTGGGATTGGGCCATTAAGCGAAATTGGGGTCCTTTTTTTTGCCGCACATTAAAACGCTCCAAATGATTGCAAACTGGTTCATAAGGATTTAAAAAATCTTCCTATAGACAATTGGAAATTGGAAATTGAGCTTTAACCTACACCCAGATCGCTTTGAAGCTCAAAATTTTTAACGAAATTCTCCAGTGCCTTCATTCAGGGTCGAACTTTGTTCTGAACCTTAGGAAACTTGAAACTTTAATTGATACTTCGAGTGATAACACAGCTTTTACAAGTGCACTGTGCTAGATGAGAGTGTGCTAGATCAATTGAGACTTCAGTACTTCACGTTTGTTCAAGTCCTTCACTTCCGAGCACGCCCATTGGGCTGGGTGCCCGAGAAAACACTTACAGCAATCAGATCCTCGTTTCAATTTTTTCGCTTTCATAGTGGGGCTTTCGATACTAATGATTGATTGTATAAAAGTATCGTAAAATCTCTTGAACTTGTACATTGCACTCACAAAATTTTCGGTTTAGTGGATTTTAAAAAGCTTCTCCCTTTTTTCACTCCTTTTTTCACTTTATTCGCTGTTTTCCGTTTTCGGCGACTTTTCAAGATGCTAAAGTTCAGTTTTCAAGAACAGATTACGATTTTGACTAAAATTTTAATTAATTTGCGTATAAATAAAGTTTAATTTCAAAAAGTTTAATTCCAAAAAGCTGAGTTTCAAAGTAAAAGCACTCAAAATTGACAGAAGAATGGCTAATTCTTATCGCATCCAAATTTTCAACAAATTCCCCTTTCTTCCATTTCCCACGGCATTCGCTCAACTGCTCAGACAGAATGCTCCGTTCTTCGACTTTCACTTCGACTTTGTGACTCTCTTTTCTAGCTCAAAAATCATCACTCACCCACTTTCTTTCTCGACTTTTTGTCAATCCATCGGGTCATTTGTCGATCTTGACTCGAGATCAAATTTTCATTTCCTTCTTTCAAGAATTGAGGCTCGAAAATTCGAATGGAAAAAAAGAAGGATTTGCAGCTAAGCTAAGCTAAAAGCTAAAACAAAGCTAAAAGAACAAGTTTTCTCATCGTAAAATTGCAAATAGTCAACTTTAAGAAGTATTTTTTCAAAGTTTCAATTTTGATCGCTTTCCAAGTTCAAAAGCTGTTGATGAGAAAGACAATAACCCTCTCAGCTTACATTAGTTTTAGTTTTTAGCATTATCTTATAACTTTTTTGATTTTAAAAGATGAAATTTACTGAAAGGATATTAAAAGTTTCAACTTTGTTTCTATAAATTTGAGTAAAATCTTTTAGTTTTTATTATTTTTTACCTGTTTTTTGAAGGAATTCAGTTTCAAAACTAAAAACTTAGCTTCTTCAAGCGAGTTTCTGGGGACTACATGTAATTCGGAGTCTCTAGTTTATTTTTTCTCACCAAAGAAATGCCCCGTGTCGCCGAGAGGTTGCTCGGAAGCTTCGATGCAAGGTCAGCGAAATATTCAAATTTCCAAAAGTTCTCAAAAGTGATAATTTTCGAAAAATCCAGAAATCTGAAAGAGATTTAGGCCAATTTCAAATTAAATTTAACAATTTTTCAATGCGTTTCCCTATATTTTTCCAAAATTGTCTTGAGATTAACAATTAACAAATTGTACGCAAAAAATAGAATAGTTAACTAAAGGGAAAGTAAAATAAAGTAAAATTTAAAGCAAAACCGAATTTTTTGTCATCCAAAACACGCACCATTAATCACCATTAACTTTCAAATTATTTCGCTTATCTTAAAAAAGTTGAAACTCGGTTTTTTTGTCTTGTCAAGGATGATTCCCTAAACAGTTTTTTTGAAAATTGAAATGAAAATTCGCGAAGTTTTTGTTAATTTTGAAATAAAACACAATTAGTAAAAGGTTTCACGAGTTCTGTAGAGTCGATTGCACTTTGAATCGATCCCCATTAGCCGTAAAAGATAAAACTAAATTTTTTCTGTTTTGTGATATCACAGTTTAAACATTACACTAAATTACAGCAAATTAATTAGTACATTTAGTAAAGTACAGTAAATTTTTGTTTTGAAAAAACCTATTTAAAGTTTTATTCTTTAAAAATAGCCTTTTACATTTCTTCAACCAAAATTTCTATAATTTTTTTGTGGAAGAAATGAGACACCATCGACATCATTGACTTTGAAATTGTCTTAAACAAGTCCCAAAAGATGAAACTCAATGTTTTTCCTTGGATTTCCTTGGCATTCAGGGTCGAACTTTGTTCTGAACCTTATGAAACTTGAAACTTTGATTTTCCAATAATGATTAAAATTGATGCTGCGAGTGATAACACAGCACTGTGCTAGATTTACAAGTGCACTGTGCTAGATGAGAGTTCAATTGAGACTTCAGTACTTCACGTTTCTGAGAAATGAGACATCATTGACAGATTGACTTTGAAATTGTTTTAAATACGTGCCAAAAGATGAAACTCAATGTTTTTTTCTAGGATTTTCTTGGTATTTACTATAGCAGTATCGTTTAAAAAGATTTATTTAAAGTTATCTTACTTTTTTTTGAAGCATATTAATATTTCCAGTAAGCGTCCATCTCGCCCGAACGCTTTGGAGATCATTCGGATCCGTCGGCCCGACGGAAGTACACAGGAGAATGTGTATCGAGTGGGGTGAGTTCGAAATGAAAAGGAAAACTAAAAAAACTATAAAGCATCTTAAAATCTTTACACTTTCAATAAAATAAATCCTGAAATGCATTTTTGCATTCAAATAATGCAACAATGCAACTGTGTCCAGTAGTAGAGTTGGTCTTATTTTAATCGACTCAAATTTGAAACTAACTTTTTCAGGGTTATGATAATCTAATTCTATCTAATTGTAAGCGCCTTGTAGTACTTTTAAAATTTGAAGAAATTCAATGCAATCACATTTCATCGAAAAGCTGATCCAAAGTCTAAAATAAATGCGCCAGTTTTGACCCGTAACTCGTTTTTTTCAACTAACTATAAACATTTTCCGTTTTGATTTCGAAAGACATTAAGAATAGAGATCGGACAGGAGTGAAGCTCTTATCGGTTACCAAAAACGGTAACCAAAAACGGTTACCGAAATCTGGCGCCAAAATCGGTTACCAAAATCTGATCATTTTAGCATTTTAATGAGGTAAATGTCATAAATCGTCACTCGCTTATTATTCAATTTGGTCCTGTTCTCACTTCATTTTATTTGAAACTAGCTACTTTTAACAAAACAAAAAACAAATAAAGCCCAAAGTTGAAACATTTAAGAAATGAATCCATTAATTTACAAGTTTCAAAGTTTTTAACGAAAAATGATTATCTAAAGAGTTATTCAATGAAAGTCCGGTTCAGTTCAGTTCAAATTTAGTTTTTTTTTAAGTCTGAAATTTCGCTATTTACTTATTCTTCTCTTTAAAACTCCCGAAATTCGCCGATTGATTTCCAAACGGAAATCAATCAATCAATCAATCAATTCTTTATTCGAAATGTTTATCGTTTACATATTGTTATTCTAAAGTATATTTAAATCTATTTTAAAGTAATCTTGAGAAAAAATTTTCATTTTTTTGCGAAAATTCATTTAATTGACAAACAACTGAAAAGATTTCTCTGAAAATTTGGCTATTTTCCTATCTTTTTATGCTCTATTAATTTTATATTGATAAGAAAATAGGTTTCCTTGATTCAAATAACTTCAAGCTTGATGCCTTTAGATACAGAACGAAAATAATACCGTAAATATTAGGTTGGCAACTTAATAATGACGCGTCACTACTTAACATGTTTTTTGTAATTTCAAGCGCCGTTTCTTCCCTCTTTTTTGCATATATACAAAGTAAAAGATATCTGCATAAATAACATTTAGTGCTGCAAATTTCATCATTCGCTTTTTGGCAAAAAATGGAGGACAAAAAATTCCGTATTCGAGCTGCATTGTTCTACGATTTTAAACAAGGAAAATCACCAGCTGAATCTCATCGCACGATCATCACTGTTTTTGGGGAGGAAAGTATACACATTCGGCAATGTCAACGATGGTTTCAAAGATTCCAAGGCGGCGATGAAAGCCTCGTAGACGAGCCACACCAAGGACATCCTCCAGAAGTGGTCGACGATGACTTGCTCGCCTTAATTGAAGATTGCCCAACACTCACCGTTCGTGAGTTGGCAGAAATATTTGAAGTATCCCATACGACAATCAAAAACTATTTACACAAACTTGGGAAAAGAATCGAGTTGGAAAATGGGTTCCTCACGAACTGACCCAAACCAACAAAATGTCGCCTCAATTTTGCTACAAAAATGTAAATCAAACGACTTTTTTCACAGGGTTTTGACTTCTGACGAAACGTGGATCAACTACGAGAACATTAAACGCAAAAATCAATGGCTATCTGCTGGGCAGACCCCTCAAACCACTCCCAAACCTGATATCCATGGGAAGAAGATAATGCTCTGTTGCTGGTGGTACTTCAAGGGATTGGTGCATTATGAAGTGCTGAAACCTGGCCAAACCGTCGATGCTGATCTTTATTCGAAGCAATTAATGAGAGTTAACGAGTCTTTGAAGAAATTGGGGCTCAAACCGGAGAGAGTCAGATTTTTACACGACAACGCAAAACCCTCACACTGCAAAGATCACTTATGAGAAAATCGAGGAACTTGGCTGGAAAGTTTTGCCCCACGCGTCTTATTCACCTGATCTGGCTCCTTCAGATTACTTTTTGTTTCGGTCGCTGAAGCACTTTTTGGAGGGAAAAAAGTTCGATGATCATGCTCAGGTCATAAAAGCAGTGAATGACTACTTCGCCTCAAAAACTCCCAAGTTCTTCGAGGATGGGATCCGGGATTTGCGCAGAAGATGGGAAGAAGTCATAGATACTAATGGAGAATACCTTTCGAATTGAAAGCTCTTCTTTTGTGTTTTTTTGAAATAAATGATTTGTTACATAAACGCGTCATTATTAAGTTGCCAACCTAATACTTCAATAGAAGCCCCGTCGTGTAGTCGAAGTTTAAGCTCTCAAACAAACGCTCATATCTCAGCATCAATACGTTTGTTTCTGCGCACTTAGATATCAAATTAAAGTAGAGAAAATGGGTGATTTCTTGAGATATAAAACATCTTTTTAGCATTAACCAACACTTAGAAAAAATGTTTGAAAAGTGGCAAAAAAAAAGTCTTTTTTTCTTTATCTTTTTTTTTCGTTGCCCGAACGAGATGAGGTAGTACCGAATTTTGGTTTTAAAAAAAGCTCGAAACCACTCAATCCAATTGAATCTCACATTTCCTTGTCATTTAGCGAATTTTTGGATTTCTGAGAGTGATCAGCGGAGACATGGTCTCAAGAAAAGGGAAAAATTGAAGAGAGAAAATCAAGAGGCGAAATTTTAAGACAAGATATCCGAGTGAAAAGGAACAGGAAAAGCTAAAGGAAGAAAAGAGATGGGAACAAGCGGTTCCCATCAAAAAAATCTTTTCCCTATTGGCCTTTCTTTTAAGATCCTGCGAAAGTGTGTCAAACTTTTTGAGTCACAATCGATGGCATAATTTGAACCTTGTCAAATGGCTTTTGGTTTTTCAAGTTCAAATCGAGAGTTTTGAGTTTATCTTGGGCGATAAGTTAAGTTTCGATTTTGATTTGTTTTAAGTGAATTGTTGAAAGCTTGAGATTTTAATCTAAAGCTTTTGTACTTTGTTTTCTTAGGTAGAGCTCATTTTTAAATATAATGCCGGATTTTCTCTAATAGTAGTGCACCCGGCCGAGCCGTGTTGGCGACTGTTTTACTGTTTCCAAGCTTTTGCAGAAGCTGAACACTCAAATCCCCCACAAGATCTCATCGCCAGCTACATTTTCCGACCCCACATCGATAGGTTCTGATAAGCGGTTCTCGAGATTACGAGGAATTTAGGCGACGCTCTGGGTGCACTACTATTAGAGAAAATACGGTAATTGATATCTTTATTGAGATCTTTCAAATCGATTTCATTTGATCACTAAAAACCTTAGATTTCTTTTATTGGGTTGTCCAGTTATGAATGCGCGTTTTTACTATTTTGTAAATTTCTCAAGATATCGAACAGATGTATATGAGTGTTATGTATCATTCGAAAACTGAACATCTCCTCTACATTTTGATATAAAAACCTTTGGAATTTGTTCAGCTTTTGGGCAAATTGACTGCACAAAGGGAGAGGTCGTTTTCGAAAAAAATCCATTCCAGCTTAGCTATTCCTCAAGTTTTATGGTGTAACCGCCCAGAATAACCGCCCAGAAAAGAAAAGAAAAGAAAAGATCCTCTGAAATTGTTATATTTTAAAAAAATTGTATTGAAATATCTATTGGTCAAACATCAAACGGTTAACTCAATTTGAGCGGAGCCAAAGCTTGATCCAAAGGCACCCGTCCATTTTTTGGCCACCTCTTCTTCTGTGCAGTCAATTTGCCCAAAAGCTGGGCAAATTCAAGAACCTTTTATATTAAAATGTAGAGGAGATCTTCAGCTTTCGAATAATACTCATAGATATCTTTTTCTTGATTTCGGTATCTTGAGAAATTTACAAAAAAGTAAAAAACGCGCATGTCATAACTGGACAACCCAATAGTTAGCTCAATTTTGAAACATTAAGCTTCAAAACTCTGTCCAGCTGCTGTCCAGCTGCTGGACAGAGTTTTTAAACCTTGTTTTTCATTTCTTTTCATTTCATTGACTTTTAAAAACTCAAAAACTAGAACCTCACTTTGAAACTCATACTTTTCTTTCATTTTCATTTTCTCATCGTTTTCATTAGTTAACTGTTAAGCATTTTAAAAGCATTGTTAATCATTTCTATTTTAAAAAGAGCTTTATTTTTTTTAAAGATAAAACTTCAAACTTTATTTTAATAGATTCAAATATTTTAGGAATCAATTTATTTCAATCCGAATCTTTTTTTTTTCTTTTCGAAAGCCGATCGATGTTCCAAGTGGCCTCGCTATGGCTGAGAAACAAAAAGGAACGAGAGATTGGGTAGTGGAATTATTGAAAATTTCATTTTATTAAATCAAATTTGAAGTGTTTGAAGTTCGGTGGCTATTTTTCGAAAAAATTTTCAGTTGGTCCAGTAATTGGAGCGAATTTTTAAAAATTCCATCCAGGAAACGAGCTTAGCAATAAAAAAATAGCCTTTAAAACAATGTTGTTTCTAGTTTAGCGGGTTGATTAACACATAGACGATTGACGCTTCGAACCACATGACTCAATGCTGAGTCACGGCTGTTTCTCGTGAATGGCTGGACCAAATGAGCTCAAAAGTTGTAAGAGCATGTAATTTTGGGTCCTCTTTCCGAATCCGACGTTAGTCTTATTTGGAAGTTGTGTGATTTTTCGTAAAAAGTGGGAAAATCGGGTGTTACCTTTCCATGACCGTGGGACTAAGGCGAGCGAAGGGAATCTTGAGGGTTGTTGGTTCGAATAGGTTCAATAGAAGGTTGTTGGTTCGAAAAGCTTCAATAGAAGGTTGTTGATTCGAATAGCTTCAATAGAGGGTTGTTGGTTCGACTCCCCCGGAGCGAGAAGGTTTTGCAAAAAAAAATCTTTTCTAATAATTTCAGTACTTGCATGTAGTAGCTACAAAAATCAAGTGTTAGAACTGAAAGAAGTTTTGAAAACCGAATGTTCGAAAAACGAAAAACGAAAAAGAAAATGATTTGAGAATGAAAAACTAATCAATCATTGATTTAAAATGGATTTTACAAAATTTAATGTTTCTATTTTAATTCTGTTTATGAATAAATCGGTAACGATAGTAAGCAGTGGACAAAAAATAAAAAGTAAATTTGCCTCGGATTCCCTCGAAATCTGTAGTGGCTCTTAGTCGTTAGCTGGATAGCTGAATTCTTTAGTCGTTAGTTGGATAGCTCTTGGTGGTCACGTCTGGTGTTAAAAGTGTTTTTTTCGGAATTTTTCACCACCATTATGAGACTTTTGCCATAAAATTGCGATATCAAATTAGAGTTAATAAACTACCGTAAATACTGTAATAGTACCCCACCCCCATAATGACGGTGCGGAGTGTTGCGTAGTCTAGCTTTGGACGCGTTTTTCTCGACACTGGTTTATGCTACAACGCGCGCGTAGGTATCAAAAAATAGCTGAAATTCAGGGCTATTTTTTGATACCAAAAGAATTAGAGAAATATTGTATTTTTTGAAAGTACGAGCGCTTTGCAAAAAAAAGGAAATACGAAAAAACTTTTGCGACTACGCGACTGTACGAGGGGAGCGTGGGGTACTATTACAGTATTTACGCTAGGTAGTTATCGGAATCGCGTGATACACTCAGAAAAAGAAATCAAATCTGGGAATGTTTTGGGAAAACTCTTGAACTTTCTTGGATTTGTGGCCAGCTTGCTGATAAGTTCAAATGCGATTTGAGAAATCAATTTGAATGTTTACAATCCCAGAGCAAGAGTTTATCCTTGAGAAGAGTGACCGTAAATACTGTAATAGTACCCCATCACCATAATGACGGTGCGGAGTGTTGCGTAGTCTAGCTTTGAACGAGTTTTTCTTGATACTGGTTTATGCTACAATGCGCGCTTAGGTATCAAAAAATAGCCCTGAATTCCAGCTATTTTTTGATACCAAAGACGCATTTTTTGAAAGTACGGGTGCTTTGCAAAAAGTGAAATACTAAAAAACTTTTGCGACTACGCGACTGTACGAGGGGGGTGGGGTACTATTACAGTATTACAGGGATCCAATTACAGTATTTACGGTAAGCTTTTTAACCAACTTTATTCATCTATTGGGTTGGGGACTATGACTCGGCGCCAAACTTTAAAGGGACTTTTTGCACACATAAAGCCTTCTTTAAACATACGTTTGGTTTCATCAAAAGGACCACTATTTCTCTACAAAATGACTTTTGAGAGATTCCACAAAGCTTTTCTTTCGTGGAGTTATGGACCCCAAACACAGCTAGTCAAAATGGCAAAGAGCCCGACTCATCATTTGAACAGTTTCTTTCACATAAACCTTCTTTGGTGTTTATATAAAAAAGATAGAGCACATTCAATTACTTAAGTTGCCAAATTTGCAGGAAGATCCCACCAATGGTTTTTTCTAGATGACAGTTTGTAGTTTTTGTGAAAAAATGGCTTTTTCTTGAGCGGAGGCGCTGTTTGAATTTTCTTTTAAATGTCATTTTGTAGAGAATTAGTTAACCATTCTACTCATATCAAACGCATATTATTTGACGAAGTCGAATAGAAGTTTTAGACATTTTTTTGATTTTCGGCGCCGAGTCATAATCCCCAACCCAATATATATGATATTCAGTGGTACATAAGAGATTTTCAAATTAAAGAAGATTTTAAAGAAGTTTAAAGAAGTTTAAAGAAGTTTCCCCGTTTTTCCAATGAAACGCTGATCAATAAAGTGAATGGTTTAAATTTTTCGTTATTCTAATAACGTTTATAGTATTAGAAAATGGTAAGTGATTAATTTTATTGGAGAAAAATTTGAAAATTCAATTTCCAGAAGCCGTCCAATCTCCCCTCGGGACTCAATAGTGACCCCAACCGGCGAGCCGATTCAATCGCGTCGCATGACAATCGTCGAAACAGAAGATGGGAATATTGAGGTAGAAAATGTTGTTCCTTTTTCTGAGACGTTTTCCCTTTTAATAACTTTCAATTATAAACTCTTTAATTACTGTTTTGATGGCGTTAACTTTGAAACTCATTGTTTGAGTTTCAAACAAACTCATTGTTTGTCTTCTCTAAAAAGATTGAAAAATATAATTGTAGCAGCCAATCGGTTTCCTAAACCGTGTCCTCTTTCCCTTATCTACCATAACTTTGAAACTCATTCTTTCCGTTCACTAAAAAGTGTCCCTTTCCCTTATCTACCGTAATCTTGTCTCTATTTTGATTAAATCTATTCACTTTTTATCTAATTCTGTGAGGATTTACAATGAATATCTAAAGATATAAAAAGTGGATAGATTTGATAAAAAAGAGACAAGATTACGGTACGAAAGGGGTATATTTTTAGAAAATTCGATCAATGAGCACTAGAATAGTAAATATTAAAGAATAGTAAAGACTAGAATATTAAAAGTTTTAAGGTAAGCGAGGGTTTCGTCGATCTCATTCAAGAGGCCAACGTTGACGGGGTTCGGCATTTGAAAACGTCAAATAAATGGGTTCGGTGAGTAAGAAATTGAGTAAAGTGAGTAAAAAGGTGAGTGAGAATAGGATTAGAGAAAGAAATTTGGGTACTTGTCGGTCATAAATCCATAAAGACACATCTCGGTGAAGCGTCGCCAATCCGAGTCTTCTCGCTTATCGATTCCAAGTTCGACTGATCGACTGAACGACTTCAGACGAGCACTCTACTTCACTGAACACAATCACCCCTCAAAAGTTGTCAGCTTCTTGCTTAACCGAATTCAGTCTCTGTGGATGCAAAACCGACAAATACCAAGGCAACTATCACCTCCAAGTACCGAGTATCAATATCAAGTTGTCAGCTGTCTTGCTTAACCCAGTTGAGTCTTTGTGGGTGTAAAACCGACAAGTATAAAGGCAACTATCACCTCCAAGTACCCAGTATCAATACCGACAATTTGTGACGAATCTTTTCGATTCAAAAACAAAGAATTCATGTATATTTCAATTTCCCATTTTCACTTCCCACAACCATTGTCCTCTTTCAATCTCCTCTCAAGTAATACGTTTTCTAAAAGGCATCTATTTTCGAAAATTATCGTAGCTTTTCGCTTTTCCTAAAAGAAACCCATTTCAGTCAAAACTACCGTATTTCACCCGCCATTTTTCATTTGATCAACTCGATTTCGGTATCATTCAATGAACCTTGTAAATTCTCATCGAATGTGACCAAAATTGGGCTGATCAAAAGGAAAATTGGCGCTGGATTACGGTAGTTTTAGCTGAAATGGGTGCTTTTTAGAAAACGGACTAGAAGGTGAGGACTCAAGTACAATCAGGTTAAATGTTGAAAAATGAATAAAACTTAGAAAAAAATAAACTTTCAGGGCTGTGTGGCTCTTTATCATCTTGCTCTTCGTCATCCTTGCTTTATACCAAATCTACTCGCAAGTGCGACTCTTCATGGAGAACCCGGTGGCGACGAACATTGACGCCGAGTACCCGGCACAAATCGCTTTCCCAACGGTGGCCATTTGCAACAACAATCAGTACAGGTCAGATTTGAAGGAATTACAACAGGATTTTCGTTTGTTTAATGAAGATCAAGAAAACGGGATGGCGGTAGAGAGAACTGGGTTGAAAGATCAACTAAAAAAACGCTAAATCTCCCCTTTAACAGTAAACGATGTTCTCTTGTGGCTAAAAGCCTGTAATTAGCTAAAATCCGGATCCAGAACCAAAATCAGGTTTGCCGATTTTAAACGCCAAAAGAAAAAGCTTGTTTCAAAGAACTCAGCATTTCGAGAGTTGCTTTGCGAACAATTAGACGATTTTCTCTATCTTTGAATTTAAAACAATCGACAAGCTTCGAATTTTAAATTTCAACTTTTGAGTTTAAAGTGCGATTAAAACCGGATTTTAAGATTAACCTACATCACGGACAAGCGACAAATGTCGCGAAGGCCGCCAAATGGCGGACAACGACCGATGCTTTCCATGAGGAACAACGGTTCGATATTTGACCAGGTGATCGATATAGAATTTCGCGTAAACCGAAAAAAATTGAAATCATGAGATTTGAAGACATTACCCTCAACGAGAAATCACCTGACTGGAGCCTAACGGCAACCTGGAGCCTAACGGCAACCTGGAGCCTGACGGCAACCTGGAGCCTGACGGCAACCTGGAGCCTGACGGCAACCTGGAGCCTGACGGCAACCTGGAGCCTGACGGCAACCTGGAGCCTGACGGCAACCTGGAGCCTGACGGCAACCTGGAGCCTGACGGCAACCTGGAGCCTGACGGCAACCTGGAGCCTGACGGCAACCTGGAGCCTAACTTGATAACTTGATAAAAATTAGGTACACACTAAAAAAAGAGAAAAACATCGTCATTTCAATTTTTTTTTATTAAACACCAACAAGGAATTAACTTGCTAGACGTCACGTCAACCTTTTGCAAGCTTGAAACTTTCAAATTTAAAACCCAAAGTCATTGAGGGATTAGTCGACTAAATTTTGATCGCCAGGCAAATTATTTGAAACTTGATAAATTCTGCGGGTTAGATGCACATTAGAGAAAGAAACTGGTTTTCAATTTGGTTTTTTGGCGAGAGGATATTAACTCGCTGAATCCTCACGGTAATCTGTGCAAGTTGAAACTTTTAAATTTTAAACCTCCTTATTTTAAACCTTTTAAACCTCTGCTAGAAATTCGTGTTTTAACCTAAAATAATTGAAGTGCGACAAATTAATTCCTATTTATTTTATAAATCCCTACGGTTTCAGCACTAGAATCATTAAAACCAATGTTCTTGAGATTTATTAGCTGTTAGCGCCACTGACTGAATCGACCACTGGCCGACTGGTCATAGTCGGGCTAAGCATACAAGCTGAAACTTTGCAATTTCAGATTTCTAAAACAACAACCACAAATTAGTCTTTATTGTGTACAATTCAGCTAGATTTACTTGAAATTTCAAACTTTTATAGATGTTTTATTTTTTTTTTCAAAATGAAACCATTTTCTAGATCCTCGAGAACAATTGGGACAAGGAGGCGGTGCTGTTTTTGCGAAACGCCGCCCACCAGAAGTATCGAATGATCTTGGGGTGAGGGAAAAATTACAAAATTCACCATGATAGTCGTTTTCGGTTTAGTAATTTTTTTAAGCACTTAAACTCAGGCGCTTCGCAAAAACAAAGAAACTTCGGAACAAGGAAATTGAGTTCCAACTTAAGCGGGGTTATTTCTGAAAAAAACTATTCAATCAACTTTTTTCTGCCAGTATCAGAAGATAAGCATTTGAAATACCAAAAGCGAGTCTCAGAATTTTATCTTTTTTCTTGCTTTTTAAAAATCTTTGACGAATCTCCACAAGCATCGAGCATCGAAATTCGCCATTACAAATAGTGTTTGCCTTTCCAATTTTCAAATTCTAACTGAATTCCTTCTTTAAAATTCTCTTTTGGCGAAAGGCAATCAATACTGTCGTATCGTAAATTTCCTTTAATTCATTTAAGATACATGAAAGTACATGAAAAAACATGAAAGTACATGAAAGTACATGAAAGTACATGAAAAAACATGAAAGTACATGAATTTTCCTGAAGTACATGAAAAATCATGTACTTCAGGAAAATGTCAACCAAATCACTCTCAAAAATCGCTAATTAAAGAAACTTACAAAATATTTGTATCTTTCGTGAAAAAGTCAAGTTTCAACATAAGGTACATTGGTTCTGCTGAAAGAAAGCTAATTTTCGCCTGGTGAGTCACTCTAAATAATTACGTTTAAAAGTAAATTGAAGTGAAATGTGAAATCTTCTTGTGAAATCCTGTTAATTGCTTTTAAGTTATTGGGTTAACCCATAAGTAATGAGTCAATTTCAGACAGAAATATTGATTGATTGATTGATTGATTTTGATTGATTGATTGATTGATTCAATAGAGCCATCTAAATCAATCAAAATCGTTTTCATCTTTTTCGATAATCTGTGCCCATTTTACTTGTCTACAAGGCGAATTCCGCTCTCTTAAAAAGCTCTTTGCTTTTGCTCTGTACCCATCTGTACTCAGTAGCTCTGTACCCATTTTTTGGCATCTTTTTTATTTTCAACGTGTTCACCGACTAGGGCATTTTCCATTGACCAAAATAAATGGTAATCTGGTGGAACTAGATTTGGGGAATATGCTGGATGGAGAAGTTCTCAGTCCAGGTTCTTGGTTTTAGAGCGAGTCAGTTTAGCATTTTTTAGGCGGGCAATTTCTTGCTGCAATAGGACCTTTAACAGATTTGATCTTTTTGTCTCAAGGGCTTTGACGAAATTCTGCAGTTGATTGTTGTATAGTTGAGAGTTAAATCTTTGCTTGTTGTTCAATAAATTCCAATCGTAACCTCAACCGATCTTCCGGTCGCTCAACCGATCAACCGATCGATCGCTTTCGATCAAAATCGATCAAAGATCATTTTGATCAAAGATTTCTTCCCATTTTTAAACTCGTGAAACCATGATGTAGTCTTGGAGATGGAGTGGTTCTAATATTCGTGTACCTATACGCAGCTCTTCTATTAGAATATTTACGGTACTTTTGTTATGTTTTGTTATGGTCTAGAGCTAGGCTTGAAAAGCACTAGAGCATTTATGAAACTCAAATAGCATAACATGGTAAATATACCCATTTTTGCACTGATTGACAAGAGAAGAAGTTAATAAAGAAATAAGAAAGTTGAGAAGTTAAGAAGGTTAAGTTAAGAAAGTAGTTAAGAAATAAGAAAGCCTGCACAATCAATGAAAGTCTTTTGAAAGAATGGAAATCTGTTGTCTCGTTTAAAACAAAATTAACGCAAAAATTTCTTTCCTTTTCGGTGCCTTATGGGCCAACCCAATGGTCAATTTTTAAATCTATCAGTTGGATTTTTTTTTCAGATGCACCTGGCCAAATGGCACTGCGTGTTCGCCATTGAACTTTCGACCCGTTTGGACGATGACAGGTTTGTGCTGGAAATCGGAAATAACTCCAATATTCCAATATTCAAAGTTAGTAAGGACTTTACGACATAGAGACTATCCAGAAGACTTTCAATTGCACTTTAAATAAGTTGAAACTTAACATTTTTTACTTCATGGTTTTTTAAAATTATTTTTTTAGAACTTTAGAGATCTTGAAAATTAAAGGACTTTTTTGTAGAAATTAAATTTGCATACTAATCTTTATTTTTTGTCAAGTATATCGAAATTTCCAGGAATCTGTTACGCGATCAACACCGACGTGCACAATCCGGTGATGGTTTCTGGAAGTGGTGAGCCAGTTCAGCAGTTTTCACTCAGTTTATTGTATAATGAAAAAAAATGAGTTTCAAAGTGACTAAGGTGGAAACGAGATTAGGCCGTTTAGTGCGTTTACAGGTCGAGCTAGTGTTGTCGATTTGATTTTGAAGGACCTATTGATTCGTGGCCTAAAGACTAAGCCAAGAGAGGTCTAACTATTTAGAAGACTGACCTGCGGTTTAGATCCTTGATCAACTTACAAAACAAGAGAGCTTCTAGTTGAAGATCCTAGATCTTTTGGAAGAAGTACTGATATTGGACACCGCTAGGCTTTTAAGTAGCTGTCCATTTTGAAAATTGAATCCATAATTCTAACACTTTGTTAGCAAAGTATTTCAATGATTTTTAGAACTTTTTAAAACTCTCCTTAACACATTTACACGACGATTTGATCGACCGAATCGATCGTACCAATGACGATTATTTTTGGTGTCAACCTTTAAGCACTTTTGTTATTTATTTTGCAGAAAGTTCTCGGTAACTTTCTACAATTTTTCAAGAGCACTTTCAGGGGCTATCGGATGAGCTATAATAGTTTAGTTTATCTTTTATTTTACACCAAATTATCAGTGAAACAGTTAATGACTACGCAAGTGTACGCCCAAAATACTGGCTTTGTTAGAAATAGCTTTCTATCATTCATTAGCTTTATTCTGAACATAAAACTCTGAAATTGCGAATGAGGAAGTGTGAGGAAGATGTTGATGTCTTGTAGAATGGATTGAAAACTGAAAATTACAATTTTTAATGCAATCAAATACAGTGAACAGTTGGGAAAGGTGAATGAATCCCTGAAGAAGAAGAATAGGCCCTATTGTTGTCGATGTTTGATGTCTTGTAGAATGTAGAAAGATGTTGATGTCTTGTAGAATGGATTGAAAACTGAAAATTACAATTTTTGTTTAATATTTGAAAAGTTAATCGATAAATCCTAGTACTTTTTTCGCAAAGGAATTGATTTTTTTTAAAAAAACTATTCGCAAATTGCATATTCAGAAATCAAATTTTCAAAACCAAACCAAAGCAATTTCAAAATCAAAACCAAATCGTTTAGCCTCACAGCCGCCTTTTTAAAATCAATTTATTTGAAATTTTATACCAAAACCAGAAAATATTAGAATTTTAAATACAAATCAATACCAGGCTCCGGTCACGGGTTGAAACTCTTGCTCAACATTGAGAGCTACGAGCGAATCGAGGCTTGCACACCGTATTTCAAGGCCAAGCTGCAACCGGGGCTCAAGGTGGGTTTCGAAACGAGGTTTGATATTCAGAAAAGCTATAAACAGAACTACTGCATTGACAGAACTTCTTTGATATTCTGATAAGCTATAACCGTGTAAACTTTGAAAGCTCTTTGCCACTTCTTCACTTACAAAAACGATGTTTCAACGTAGACGGCTTGTCGGGGATCGTAAAGAATAATATAACGAGCAAAGGGTTTAACAATGAGCGTAGTTTAATGCCAAATTTTCCTCTCAACGTTCGGAACTTTATTAGCTTCAATAATCATTTTGCAGTAAAATCTATGAAAAAAAATAAGGGTTGAAGGATTTTTCTACTGAATTAAGGGCCTTTTTCTATTTTCTCAGCCTGTATCGAAAGTGAAATGACGAAAATTTGTGGAGATTCTTGAGAGCACTGTAATTAGTTGAGCTGCTTTTTAGAATTTGTGACTTTTAGGGTACCGTAACGTCTTTTATTACTACAGTATCCGTAGAATAAAAGTATTCAGTCAAGGTGCTTTTTTTATTGCACTTATTCAGCAAAATTTGCACTTAAAAAGTTTAAGTTTCAATGTAAACATGGCCCAGTAATGGTCCAGTAATGGCCCAGTAATGGCCCAGTAGTGGCCCAGTAAACAATAGGCCCAGTAATGTTACCAGCTCAAGTGAAAAAGCGGATATCAAAAAAAAGTTGAAGGCTTGAGATTTTTCTAATGAATCTACTGACTTGTGCCTATTTTTTGAAAATTTTTGTTAGTATTTGAGACCACAATTTTCTCTCGTTTATTGCATTTTGAGTGACTGCTTACATTTTAATATCATATGCAAATTTATGATGCAAACGTCCAAGTTGACTTTGATTAATTTTTGGATATTTAAAAAACTTGAAACTTTCGATTTCCAGATTCTCATCTACAACCAAACGGACATCCCCGAGTCGAGTCTGAACGGAGTGAACGTTCCGCCTGGTTATCTCATGGATATCCCGTTCAAAATGCAACATGTAAGTGTTTTCAGAGAATGATTGCAACAATTTGCAACAATAATAGCTGTCGATGAAAATTATTAGCGTATTTTCCGTCTAATAGTATTGCACCCGGTTTCCAAGCTTTTGCAGAAGCTGAACACTCAAATCCCCCACAAGATCTCATCGCCAGCTACATTTTCCGACCCCACATCGATAGGTTTTGATAAGCGGTTCTTGAGATTTTGAGGAATTTAGGCGAATCTCAGGGTGCACTACTATTAGAGAAAATACGGTATTACAAATAATCCCTCGTTGACCTTGCTTATCTTGAAACGCACTTTTATGGGCTAACCGTTTTTTGGAGTACTGTAACTAGGGTAATTGAGACGCTATTTAGGACCTATCACTCTAGGAGTACTGTAATAAGCTGTCTGCAAAATATGGCTTCAATAAAAGAATATTTCTAGCGTCACAAATTGTCCTCATCATCATGCATCGAGGAGACGGATGAGCACAAGAAAGCCGCCTCTGACGACTTCTTCAGCAAGGATAATTGCAGGTTTCAAATTTTGATGAAAAGCGGGGAAAGTAAATAAACATAAGCTTTCGATGCTCAATCTAAGAAGTTCTGTCAATGGTAATTGACCAAAATATCAATGATTTGTTTCATGTTTTCTTTTGAAACCAATTTGGAAATAGTAAATATCTCTGTGCTCTGCGACAAGAGAATGGAAAATAGGAGAAAAGGCAAGATGGGAAGATGATGTGCCGCAAAGTCAATGTTATACTTTTTGCTATATGGCGACATCCAAACAACAGCGCTCTATCTAAGCAAGTTCTCCATTAGTAGTGGGCCAAATAAACGTACATTTGTTTGTTGGTTGGGGCTCGGCGCATAATCATTCGAGCGGGATTTCGACCAACCGGCACCAATCGAGGACCCGACTTCTTTCTTTCAAATTTAAACTAAAATTAAATTTAATCTTAAAACAAATCATTCAAATGTTTTTTTTGAACGAATTAAATTTGTTTTTAATTAAAATTTTGATATTTATTGTACATGTGATCATTTGCAGAACGTGCGCCATCCAGAAGTACGTGGAGCAAATCGAGAAAAGTTGCGATTGCTCGATTCGACACGCTTTTGCGCCAACACCCGCTGGATGTGAGTAAAAAAGTTACGAGAGGTTCTAAACGAAAAAAAAAAAGTGTTAAAAAGGGGAAAAAGAAATAACCACAAGTTTCACTCAATCATTCACGTTAATTTGAAAAATTGTTTCCTTAAAGTGAAAACCTGTTACTCGTCGAGGTTTGTGCTCTCTAATCTCGTAAACCTATCTTTTCTGGTGCACTCAACTCTTCTATTTTCCTCTTAAGGCAACGATTTGCTATCACGAGCAAAATATAAGTCTCTCCTCTGACAATTTTGAGTCGTTTACTTTAAAACCAAGCATAAAACATGATTAAATTACCTTAAATTTGCTGCTTTTTGCTTACCTTCAAACTTTCGAGTTTCCTTTTAAAGGGTAATAAGGCATAAGGCTTTACCCGGTAAGTCCGGTAAGCGATATCCGGTAAGCAACATCCAGTAAGCGACATCCGGTAAGCAACATCCGGTAAGCGACATCCGGTAAGCGACATCCGGTAAGCGAGAGCGCCGACCATGTTTTGCATTCCCAGCCCAAACCCATAAAAGAACTAAACATGAAGTTTCCAATTAACGAATAACCTCGAACGGGATTTCTGGAAAAAAAAACAATAAACAATAAACCGAGATAAAGTGTTTGAAGATTATCATTGCAAAAGTCCAAAATAGCATCGATTGAAGAATAAGTTTGATGCTTAACAATGTGAGAAGGACTCATTTTTCAGTTAAAATTCCCGCCTGCAACGTGGACGACTATTTCGGGTGCGTGGAGCGGGCGATTCAGAAGTGAGTTGTGAAAGTGGAATAGATATTTTGGTTTTTTTTGTTAGTGTACACAAAGGATCTAGTTGACTTCTAGAAAGCTAGATTTGAAGGTATTGTGAGAAGAGTATCGGAATGCCGGAAAAACTTTTGAATGAACAAATAGATCTATTGAGTTGGTGGAAAAGTCCTAAAAGACTTTTCCACCAACTCAATCTTACAAAACGAGCAAATCAAAATCTTCAAATACAAGTCACTTTGATTCTTAGGTTGGTGCAAAAGAAATTTCGGTCGATAAAAAGCCTATTTTTAATCTGAGAGCTTATTTGATGTCGTGCATTTGTACCTTGGATATTTACTTTATTTTGCATTTTCAAAGTCAGAGCTTCACTTTATTGTTTTGCTTTAGATCATGGTGGATCAGTATGTTCTGCGCCCGTGTCTTCTCTATGACCAAAATGGGCAAACGCTGCTGACACATCGTGATCTCTGTTCCGCCTTTGGAGAACAGGTTATCACCGAAAGACATGCCAGCTCTGATTGCCCAATCCGAGATGGTAATGAATCCTGAAGACGAACGCATGGACACGTGCCACAGCCATCGACAACAATGAATTGGAACAATTAATGAAGCTGATCAATGCAAACAACACGAGAACTGCCAAACATCTCAATGTGATCATCAACAATTGTACGCCATTTGGAAATAATTGGAAAGACAAATCGTAATGGACAATGGGTTCCACATCAATTGAGTGTTGAGAATCTGGGGCACGCGTTTCGATCAGCCATATCTGCTCCATAAGTCGAAAGAAGCCATTTTTTGAGAATATCTGACGATGGATGGAAGTGGATTCACTTTGATAATACTCCGAAAAAGACAATGGCTGAGCAAGGTCAAGCGCCAATTCCAACCCAAAGCCGGATTATCATGGGCGCAAAGTGATGTTGTCTTGCTGGTGGAATATCAATGGACTTGTTCATTTTGAATTATTAGAGCCCGGAAAAACAGTCGATTCATCTTATTTTATTCAACAACCAAGAAGGTTGACGAAATTTGCGTGAAAAGGCCAAATCCCTCAACTATCAACTTTCTCCGTGATAAGCTCCAGCTCACACGGCAAAAACCTCTTGTAAGGAACTAGAGAAGCTAGGATGGAAGGTCTTACCACATGCGCCGTATAGTCCAGACTTAGCACCCTCCGATTTTCACCTTTTCAGATCGATGCAACATTCCCTTGAGAATTGCCAGTTTAAGAATGCAAAAGAAGTCGAAAATTGGGTGACCAACTACTTTGCATCACAGAATCAAGCGTTCTTTGAGAAGGGGATCCGCAATCTGTAGCAACGTTGGAGGGTGTCATAGTAATGGTGCTTATTGTTTTATTTGTTATCAAAATTTTGGTCTTTATGTTTGTAAAAAAACGAAATTTCATTTGCACCAACCTAGTATTTACCGGATTTTCTCTAATAGAAGAACACCGTCTGATCTATCGAAATCGGGACTTTTTTTAGAGCTTCTTTTTGGGTAGAATAGTAGGTTTGGGTTCAGATAAATAAAATATAAGCATTTTAGCATTTGCAGTAAAATTGGAAACATAATTTTTACAAAAAAAATTTTTTTTAGATTTTCTTGAGAGATTCGCTGTGGAATCCGGGTAAAGATAAAATAATTTTACTTTTAAACACGTTTTTTTGTATCTTTTATGCCAATGGCTATCATTTAAAATGGGTTTTAACAATTTAAAAGCTTTTATTTAGATTTTATTTAGACCCTTACCTACTTTTTTAGGTCGGTCGATTTTTAGGCGTTTGAAAAAATAGAAGAGTATGCTCTATTGGATTAGAGAAATTTCAAAGGACCGTATTTTCTATTCTATTAGAGACGGTCCTTTGAAATTTTGATTAGAATTTGGAGATTTTTTTTCTAAAAAGATTTAACACCAAAAAAATTTTGATCAAAAATAGAAAAAAAAAGTGCGCGATTGGTTAAAAATCAGTCACTTGGATACAATTTATTTTGAAACGTTGAAAATCCCAAAGAAGAACGATTAATGAACCAACTCTCAAATTCATTCTCACCACTTTGAAACTTGTTTTTTTTTTGCAGAGTTCGCGACAGTGGAGAAACGGCGAAATGCTTGCCGCCATGTGAAAGTATCGATTACACGGCTTGGCAGGTGGATTTGATTTTGATTTTGATTTAGAAATGGTGCAAAGACATTATATTGCAATATATTGTGTCAAGATGTTAGAGAGTCTAATTCTAGGTTACAATTTCAGATTTTTTTTTGATAAAATTCAAATATTAATTGGCAATTGTTAACTCAAAACTGTTTTTTGCTTTACACAAATCAGTTTTTCTGTTTATTTTCGTATTGGTAACGTTCTTTGTAGCGCATTGTCAGGCGGGGGTGCGCTTAGACAGACTCGGGTGGGGGTAAGTGCTGCAAACTGCAAGAGCAAGATTACCAGGCTCAACCGCAACCACTTCCGAAAGAGCAGCACTGACCGCCTTCTTGATACCTTGATTTTTTCATTTGAAAATATTCAGGGGCACATTTTAGAAAACGAGCTGTTGTAGACTTACTAGGGAAAGGCACGAACTTCCCGTTAACTTTCGTTTCTGGATCACATACATCTTACTAAATCGAGTATACAGATTCATAATCTAAAATCAAGATCTGCCAAATTAGCTTGAATTGAAATTTCGAAGGTAAACTTTAAAGGGCGCTTTTCAATCCCTGGGATATGGGCACCGCCTTGTGGATAGTGGGGCTCTCGATAGTAAGATCGGGGTTCTGTCCGTCTCTTGGGTTTTTTTTCATTTAAATGTAATACTTTACTTTGTAACTATTCAATATAACAAAAGTAAAAGATGAAATGTTAACATATAAGAAACGAGATCACGTAACATCCAAAACAATAAAAATTTCCACAATACGAATCTGATCAAGGTATTCTGTTGGCATCCGCTCTAGAACACGATTTGTTCTTGATTTCTCGCTTGGGCAATGAGAAATGAACGGGCAAAAACCAGTAAACCTGTAAAGTATTACAAATCTAAAGAAAAAAAAACCAAAAACCAAAAACTCGGGCCCGGTTCTTACGATCTTACGAGCTGACGAGCTTAGGATCTTATGATCTTATGATCTTATGAGCTTACGATCTTACGATCTTATGATCTTACAATCTTATGATCTTATGATCTTACGAGAGGCTGTCCCACTATCCACAAGGCGGTGCCCATATCCCAGGGATTGAAAAGCGCCCTTTAAAGTTTACCTTCGAAATTTCAATTCATGCTTATTTGACAGATCTTGATTTCAGATTATGAATCTGTATACTCGATTTAGTAAGATGTATGTGATCCAGAAACGAAAGCTCACGAGAAGTTCGTGTCTTTTTGCCTAGTTAAGTGAACCAGTTGTCAAAATCCATTAATATAATATTTTTTTGATAATCCCTCCTCTCAGGACATGAACCGTTTACCGATAAACATCATGCCGCCGGTGATCGACGAGGATGAAGAGGAAGATGAGCAAGACGTCGTTGATGAGGATGCTATTGACAAGGTTAAATTTTTCTTAAATCTAAGTATTTCAATAGGTCGACTACTTCTTAACATCATAGCCTCAAATCACTAAATGAAAACCTTTTAAAAGTTTGTTTTCAATTCAAGTAAGAAATTTGGAATTGTGGGGAAGAAAAATAAGTCAAAATAATGGTAAATGATGTTAGGGGAAAAACTTTACCGATGAACATCAAGTTTCAACTTAGACAGTTATTTAGGAAGATTTACACAACAATATCTGGTTTATTTACCGTTTGGCTCTCTGAGAAAATCGTTTGCATTCTTTAAAAATCTTATAATTCTAAGGAATGGGTTTTAGGTGGTTTCCTTTGAAACTCACTTATTTTATCATGAAAGCGATTTTTTCTCTCACTTGATGAACTGGATCCAGCTCTTTTTTCTTAGTTAAACTTAAATTTAGCTTAATGCTCTCTAAAAGTCCTTTAAAATTCTGCAGATTTCAGATAAGAATGGGTAAATTATTCGGTAATTAAATGGGTTTAAGTCAATTTAAAAAAAAAAACGCTGCGGAATTGAGCCTTTCAGTCGCTCTTTGAACCATATCTCTTTGAAACTTGAAAATTTTTAAAAATTCGAAATTTGAATGGTTGAAAATTTAATAGTATTTTAGAGTTAAGAATATATTTTGAGTATATTAAAATACAAATTCCCAGGCTGTTCAACAATTCTCTTCGAAGGGCACTGTGGCTAGTTCGAAAGAAGAGAAAACCGAGTTTTTCGTTTGCGATGACTCGGAGCAGCTGCCGGAGAAAACGGTGAGAATACAAAAAGAAAATTTCTTTTCTAAAACTTTTCCCCTCTCTACCATAATCTTATCTTTATTTTTTATCCAATCAATCGACTTTTTCTTTGATTTTGATCTTTTTTGAGGGTTCATAAAGGATATTGAAAGATAAAAAGTGAATGGATTGGATAAAAAATAGAGATAAGATTATGGTAGAAAGGGAAAAGTGAGACACGGTTTAGGAAATCGATTGGCCGCTACAATCTATAACAATATAACATATTTTAATCTATAACTTGATTCAAGCACTTTTTTAAAAAAAAATTAATAACAAAAAAACAACTTCGCGCTTATTGACTTTACATGGAAAAAAATTGAAACATGAGTTTTTTTTCGAAACTTTCAGGTAAAAACGATCACCCGGGTTGCCAAACACGCTTTCGAGAAGCAGTCCCGTTTCCAGGATGACATTCACCTTAAAACGAAGAGACTTATTGCAAAGTTGATGTTGGCAAAGAACAGGCGAGTTACAGGAAGAAACTTTAAGATAGAAAAATCAAAAAAATTGAATTGAAAAATATTCAGTGTTGTCCAAACAAATACTTTAATTCCGAGATATTGTAGTGAGACAAGAGACAGTGACTTTACGGTTTAACGATCTTTGAAATCAGCTCAACTCATACCGTATTCTCTCTAGTAGTAGTGCATCCCGAGTTGATGACTATTTTACGGTTCCCAAGCGGTTCCCAAGCTCAACACTCAAATTGCCCACTAGATCTACATTTTCCGACCCCACATCGATAGGTTCTGATAAGCGGTTCTTGAGATTTTGAGGAATTTAGGCGAAGCTCAGGGTGCACTACTATTAGAGAAAATACGGTATGTAAATCAAAATCAACTCGATTCACAGTTTGAACTTAAGACTATGATTTTTGGATGTTCAAGCCGTTTTTTTTGGGATCTTTTTCGTAAATTAACAACGTTTTAACGTTCAGCTCAGTCCATTATCTTAATACAGTACCCAATCGTAAGAATATTCAATTTAGGCAACGCCCAGGGTGCACTACTATTAGAGAGAATACGGTAGTTATTTCAAAATTCAATTTTTCAACATAAACGTTTGTTTTAATTACGAAATTGAAAGAAAGGAAGTTGAAAAATTCGTGTTTCAACTTATTTGATTTGAATCGAATATCTGCAATGCTAGTACTCCTTCCATTGGTAAAGTGAAGCAAGAACTTTACAGACATTAGCTTCCTATCATGACAACACTTTCAGATTTGGTACTGTAGATTATCTTTTAAGTTGCCAAAATACTGAATGAATCTTTTAGATTGATCTCCGATGAGTGGGGCTGGAAAAAGGAAGAATTTCAATCGGTTTACGATCGCCTAAACGCGTCGTGCCCGTGTTTCACGAGTTTACGGGAAAAGCATTCGGAGGTTTCTTAGTTTTTCTATATAATTTTGTTTGTTTTATTATATTTGTTCTATGAGGATTCTATATAAAAATCTATATAAAATCTATATAAATTTTAGATAATCTTAGCGCTGAATAATCCACCGCCAAGTGGCGAAGAGAAACGCTCGCATCAACTCCATTTGGTGGGTGGAAAGGATTAACAGGAGTCAAGCTTAAAATATAATTTCTAGATGAAAGCTAATCCGTTTTCTAAAATGCAGCTAAAACTACCGTAATCCACTCATCAATTTCAGTATCGATCAGCCCAATTTTGGTGACATTCGATGAGAGAATCATAAGGCTCATTGAATGATACAAAAATTGGGCTTAGCGATTGAAAAATGACGACAGATTACGGTAGCTTTGTCTAAAATCAATGCCCTTTAAAGAATAAACTAACAAATATTTTAAATTCTCTGTTTACTTCCAGTTACTTGACGAAAACGATTATCAACGCCAGCCAGAACGCTTCAAATCGATTGGCGATGTGAAGGCGACCTATGGGGATACAGTTGAGGTTAGATAATAAGCTTAGAATTCCTCAAATTGTCCCAAAACAAATCGCATTTTCGTCGGTATGAAACCGAAAATGTTTCATTGAAACTTAGCTAAATTGGCTGGAAATTTCGCCAATTTAGCTTTTTGACATTCAAGGTTTCAAGTTAGACGTTGTCCAAGAGCAGATTGGCAATATGGTTCGGTCGATTTCAAATGTTATCATACTTTAAGTCAAGATCTAGCATTGGTTAAGGGGGTCGCGCTGGATTAACTGAATCTCTGTTTGGTCATTAGAGTTTAGATATAGGTTTAGATGTAGGTTTAGATATAGGCTTAAAATTTAGAGATGCCCAAGATGCTGTAGGAAAACCCATCAAAAGCAATTTGATTTTGAAATCTCTTGAAACTCTTGATTTTTATTTTGATTGATTTATTGGTTGACTGCACAAAACAATGCTGTTGTGCTAAAATTGAGCCAAAAAACCCAAAATCACTCCTTCTATTGAAATTTTGCGTCTCTCGGCAATGGAATTTCGAAAGAAACACAAAATAGATACGGCAATACCAAAAAACAAACAAAATTAAAATTAAATCGCTCAAAACTTTTCTCAAGAAGCAATTAGTTGCAGGCGTTTTCATTAGAACTTAAGCAAATTTGAAACTCAATTTTTTAAAGATAGATACCCGGAACTTTTTTTATATATGAAATACGTTTAAAATTCTAAATTTGAACTGATTTTGGTTAATTGCTTTAACTGGTTAACTGATTTGATTTATATTTTTAAAAAATTGACTTTAATCTTTATTTTCAGACAATGTTAAAGCACATTTCCCTCGTTGCTGACTACATCGAAAAGTTGTGGGCAATCTTTTTGGAGAAGAACTATCACATGAATATGGACGCCGATTTGAGTAGAATGGATCGCATTTTCGAGTTGATGAGTCAAGTGAGTGGGAGTGCGTGTGAGAAGATTAGAAAAAAAAGATTTGAGTTTAGAAAAGCAAGTTTCAAAATAATGAAAATTGAAAAGAGGATTGGTTGGCCAATGGGCGTAGCTTAAAGTTTTCTCAGCAATAATGCTCAGCTCAGCATGCTCAGCTCAGCAATAGTGCTCAGCCCAGCAATGATGCTCAGCTCAGCAACACAGGGTGACCAGAAATAACGTTGCGGCCTAATTTAGCCTATTGTTTTACAAATCCAAAAAGATTTTGTAACTGAAATAATTTTTTATTAACAACATGATCAAGAGAGAGCATAAAATGTACTTTTCTTCAAAGCTCCTTGTATCGCTTAATTGCTTTTGAGACGAGCTGATGAATCGCTAGCAATCGCGCGATCGCACTTGATCGCATTGACCTTGACGATGAAGCTCCAGAATGGCAGATCCCTTGTTTCTCATCCTATAAAAAGTGAATAGACTTGAAACAAAGTAAAACAGCAAAGAAACTAATAAAAACAATCACAGAGAATAGGTTCAAAATAAATTTTTCTCCCAAAATTGAAACTTTGAGGCTTTTAGGCTGCCGAAAATCCCTCAACGTTATTTCTTTAAAAGGCTTTTAATTAATTTAAATAATTCAATCAAAAACAATGTAATTTTGTACGAATTTCAATCTTGACTTCGTGTTTGCTATTTCATTTACAAGAGGATCGCGAGAAAGAGTTGATCTCTCCCTCAAAAATAATCCCATTTTAAAATCTCTCGATTCTCAATATTTCGAATTTCATGTTTCAAATGTTTCAACATTAAACTAAACGCTGAAAAAATAATCGTGGGATCAAATATCAGTTTCACTGACTAAACTAAAGTATAAAGATGTTAAATGTACTCAAAATCATCATTTACAGTATGATCACGGGAAATTACACCGTAAGACGTGGGCTGACAAGATGCAATCCCGCCAAATGCGTCATTTTTTCGAGGAGGAATTCTATGATGTGAGTTCATTTTAATGCAAAAAAACAAAATCAAAGTGTTTCAAAATATTTCAAAATAGTCAAAATTTTAGAATTGGTATCAGCCGATCCACGGAGATCTTCAGCAAAAATTGCAGAAAGTTTTGAGTGATGCAGAGCAAAATGATTGGAAGAAAATTGAGGAAGATGTGAAGGATGGATTCGTGGAAAAAGTGCGCTTAAAAAAGGCATAAAGCTAAGCATAAAACATGTACTTTGTGCTCTCTTCAAATCTTGTAAACATCTTGTAAACATCTTGTAAACACTCCCTTTCTGACGTAGGGAATTCTTCCATTTTCTCGTTGCTATGAGGGAGAAATGAAAGAATTGCAGTACGCTAGGAAGGGGATGTTTACGAGATTCGAAGAGTACAAAGTATACTTCAAAGAACAAGCCCGTTTCAAAGAACAAGCAAATGATCGTTTCAGATCGGTTCCGTCGTTTACTTCGCGCAAGTAAATCAGCAAAATACGACTCGATTCAAAGGTTTATATATATGCTTTATTCAGTTGAATGGCGACAAAACAAAATCACAATAATTACCCGGAACACAACTCAAAACACACCTAAAAAGATAAATAGATACCTGAAAAAAGAATCACAGAGCAGTCAAATCAATTGCCGAAATTGCGGCTTTAAATCTAGCCAAGGTGGGAATATCACGAACGAATAAATGAGGGGGTAAAATGTTCCAGAATTTAATAACTCGATTAAAAAAGAAACTGTGCGGGCTTTTCGAGGAAACGGAAGGTTGGTGTATGAGAAAAGGCCCTGGAGGCCCTCTGGAGGCGTCCCGTAGAGAGTTTATTGAAGAAATGAATACTTAAATGAATAAATGAATACTCCGTCGTTTACTTTGCGCAAGTAAATCAGCAAAATACGACTCGATTCAAAGGTTTATTGCAGAAATGAATACTTAACTTAAAGGCATTGATTTATTCGATAAATAATTGAATAAAAGCATTTCCTTTTTTTTCAGATTTCCTAATCGATCTCCGACAATGCGTAAACGAGGAAATCAACGGAACAAGTTTTACATTATTAAACGACTTCAAGAAACGATATAAAGAGTTTCAGGTGAAATTTGGAATTTTGAAATTTGATTTAATAGACACCAACCATTAGATTCCCTATTAAGATTATGAGCTTATCACATTTGAAACTTGAATTTTTTTTTTTCAAATTTTTTTAAAATTTTTCAAATTCTAATCATGAACTTTTGTATAGGCGAAATTTAATGCAGAATAGAGGAAAAAAACGATAGAAAGTGCCAGAAATAACTGAAACTGCTAGAAGATTCAGTTTATCTTTGATTTCTATTGGCATTAATGTAACAAAATCTTGTCTAACAAAGATTAATATCTTCATGAAATGATCAACCCTGTCAAAGTTGAAACATGAAATGTAAAATAAACGAAATTTTTTTTCTTTTTCAGTCCGCTTACAACAATCTTTTCAAAAAGGAGCTACCCGACTATTTAGAGAATTTCGACTTTGACAAGAAATTTGAGAGGTAAATTTCATCTTTAAACGTACTCAACTACTCAACTGACTTTAAAAGACGAACTTAAAAGTTAAAGTGACTTAAAAGTCACTTTAAAACGCACTTTTATCAAGTAAAATTAAGAATGTTTCAAAAAAAGGTTACTATTAGTAAATAGTTACTTTTTTTTGACGAAACTTAGATAGTAGCACGAATCAAAGCAACGCCCGCGTATCTTTCCAAAAATAAAAAGAGTTAAGGTTTAGACTCGTCCTGCGATTACTTTTTAACACCCAAGTCCCCAATAATTGACTCAATTCAAAATCTTTATGCACTATTTTGTAGAGGAGATTTAAGGCTTTCGAACAGTATACAACACTTATTCGCTGTGACTTGTAATTTTTTGATTTTTGAATTCCTCAATCTTTGAGGCCATTATAGCCATCAAAAACTATAAACTATTTAAATCTAAAATATCAGGAATGAAAATTGAAAATAATTCACTATTGTCTCTTCAAATAATCGCAACTGGCCGTCAAAGTTGAAACTTAGCAAAACCAGCAACAAGTTATTTAATTTTTGCCTTTTGATAACTACTTATCATACATTAGAAAATCTACAACGTGAAACTTATGCAATTCGCTTACTGGTGCAAACATACTGTCTCTTAAAAAGCTCTCCACATGCTGTTGAAACCTTTTTTAACGCACTATTCAATTTTCGTACATTTTAAACTTTGAATTACAAAATGAGTTTCAATTTTTATCAGATACTGGTGAATGATTGAAAGCCCAGTCATTCCGTTGAAGATATATGAGCGCTGCTTTCACTCCCATCACCTTAATAGAAAGCTCAATGAATTCTTACCTTTTTTTCAGTGACAACTTCGCGATGGTGAACATCTACTTGCACAAGATGCACCTTGAGCACTGGCGTCAGGACAGGACGTACACGTTTTGGAGTTTGGCTTGTACGTTTACGTGTGGCTTGTACGTGTGAAAAAAGTTGTGTCACAAATTTGAGGATATTAAAATGGGTAAAATTACTTCAATGAAAGTAATCGGGTCGCCAGTTTTCCTTTCAATCAGCCTAATTTTGGTCAAATTTGATGAGGGAATCATAAGGCTCCGTGAATTTGACCAAATTGGGCTCATCATTGGGCTCATCATTGGGCTAATCATTGGGCTAAAGAATCCACCGGTCAGCTACGGTAATTTCGTCTGAAATTGATGCCTTTTTGGGAAACCCTTTAATCCCAAACGTTTAGGTGACATCGGTGGAGCTCTGGGGCTCTTCCTTGGCGCCTCTTTGTTGACGTTAATCGAGTTGGTCTATTTGTGTTTCCATTACGGCATTTTCCACGAAGGACTCCGCAAAGTGAAACGCAATACTTGGTGAGATTTGAAAGAAAATACTTTTAAAGCCAAATTTCAAAATTTCCTCACGTCACAAGATTGTTAAATGTTTTTTGATTATTAAAACTATCAAAAAAGATTCAAAGTTTCAAATTAATTAGCAAGAAAGAAAGTTGGGTTTTGCTTTTTTCTTTTTTTAAATGTCTTTTAAACTAGATGAATAGAGATTAAAACCCAAATTCAGGGTTCGAAAGCTGACCAACGCCGGGCCACCAACGCCAATTTTGTCAAAACACTCGAAAGATCCTGTGCCGCGATCCGGGCGAAACTCTTTCGCCGTCAAAAGCAATGGCACAACACCGTGAGTTTCCAAGGCTTCGAGTATAAAAATGAGCTTTATTGTTGTTCCGAAACGATCTTCCCTTTTTCTTTCTACCGTAATCTTGTCTCTATTTTTTATTCAATCTATCCACTTTGATTTCCTTTGTGAATCCTCACAGAATCAGACAAATAGATAGATTGGGTAAAGTAGAGACAAGATTACGGTAGAAAGAGAAAGGGGACAGGTTTTCTCGAGTTATCTAATTAGAGTTATGTATTAGAGTTATCTATTAGAGTTGTCTATTAGAGTTGTCTATTAGAATTCTCTATTAGAGTCTATTAGTTTATCTATTAGAGCCTATTAGTTTATCTATCTATTATATCTATTAGAGTTAGTTATCTATCTATTAGAGTTTCTTTATTTTAAAATGAATGTCATCTATGACGACGATTTCTTTCGAATCATTTTGAAACACGTAAGAATTTCCATATTTCAGAAAAAAGAGCTCCGTTTGGTCAAACCCAATGGTGGAAGCGGATTTGGAGGCCGGTCTGGGTACGCCGAGCAAAATCTCCTGGAACGACGGGGCAAAGGTTTCGAATTTCGATCTCAAAAGACGACAAAACATTTATTTTATACTGTAACCTTAATTGAAAGCCTTTAAACTTTCAACTTTTTAGACCCATTACCTATTTTATTTTCCGGTAATCAAGTAAAAGGGGAAAGTTGATTTCTGAAAGCCTTAGAATCAGGAAAATGCAAAAATTCAGCACCACCGCGGCTCCTACGATCCGGATTCGGGTTTCCCGACAATGGACAGCTTGGCGCACACACCGCCCGTCCCAAAGCAGTTCTCTGTCATCCGGGAGGTCGGTTTGAAAGGGAATTGTTTCAAAAATTTGATTATTTAAATCTAAATCTAAGAATTATCTGATTGTTTGTAAATCAAAAGTAAATTTAAGCCAAAAAAAAATGCATGTTTCAAAATTTTGAATGCGATGACCAGTAGGTTGTTCTTAATTGGTCCGCATCCTTAATTTCTTTTTCTCTAGTTTTGTGTCATTTTTTAATGTTTGAAAGATTTGTCAGAGCTTTTGTTAAAAGCTCGACTTTTAGAATTAAATATACTTTTTAAAATTTCATTTGAACTAGAAAAAAAAATCTGTTTCAATCTAGATAGATAATAGATTTAATTTTTAAAAAAAGCTGTATTCTAAGAATGTTTTTAAAAAGTTTTTTTATAATCCAAAGCACAAATGATAATTTCACTTTAAAACCAGTTGCGAATGTTTTTTTTTCGCCGCTACTTTTCGATCAATTCGAATGTTCAGCAGACTGTTCAGCAACTGTGATTAACGCTTCGGATTGAGGCACTAAATCTAAAAATCGAATTCTTATCTTATTCTACTCATTTCTTAAGAGTTTTGACAAACTTTTCATCAGTTTTGGGACATCACAAAGTATCGATTTCAACATTATTTCGATGTGATGTCCAAAATCTGCGATTTGCTTTGATTTTTGGAACAAAAACGACATTTTTCACTTTTCCAAACAAAAACGACATTTTAGCACTTTCAAACCGTTAAAATATGCCTAAAAACTCAAATCTTATCAGCTAATTTCGAGTTTTTCAAAGCTAGAACATGACTTTTTGAGCTAAATTTTACTATTTAATGGTAGTTTTCCTAGCAAAATCGAAAGCTCTGTTTCAATCTAGATGGCAGCAGTTGATCGACCAATCTTCTGATGCAAAAGTTATTGACCAAAAATTTCCCCAATTTCAGGAAACCCCGCAAGCTGAGAACTCGTCTCCAAAAGGTTCACTACGAAACGAAAATCTTGGAAACAAAGGCGACTCACCGAAATCCTTCGGAAGAGAGGTAAATTAGAATGGGTTTTCTAAAAAAATAGAGACAAGATTACGGTAGAAATGGAAAAAGGAACATGTTTAGGATTGATTGGAAAAAATTGTTTTGTTCTAGAATAACCAGATGCTGATCAAGTTGAAACATGTTCATTTTCAGGGCGGCCCGCCAGAGCAACCACACCGCTTCACGTTGGCTGTGGCGCCACCGCCTGGTAATTTTCAAATGTGAAAAGCCTTTTAATAAAAGTACCATATCCCTACTTGTCCTGTAATTAGTAAATACCGTAACCTTTCCATTTAGGCTCCTCAAAGCCACAACCGATGCGGGTCGATCACGACGAAGAAATCCCATGGAGTGACGCACAAGAGGGCAGTTCGAGTAGTGACGACTCGATAACGGCTTCTGTATCGAAACCGACGTGTGTTTTCTCTATTAAAGAATAGAAAAAGCTATAAATGAGACAAATTTGTGTTTTTCAATTTTTTGGCTCAGAACTTGTTGGGTTGAAAAAAGCGAGTTTCAAGATGCTCAGAAAGAAAAGCTTTTCAAATACTTTGATAGAAGGGTGCTTCCTGTCTGAAATTATTGCCTAAACTAATCAAAGAATTTGCCTTTGCGCGAAAAACTCAAACTCTTGATTAAATTTATCTTTTAAATTGTTTGATTTAATAATTTAATAAAAATAAATTTAAAAATTAAAATCCGACTAGTTTCAAGGTAGTTTTCTTTCCAAAATGATCGACATCAAAGATTTAAAAAGATTTTCAATCACGCTTCCTAGTTTACATTTAGTCAAATTTTTGTTAACGTAAAAAGGCAGATTGCTTGTTTTAAGAATGAAAATGAGAAGAGGATATTGGAATTTGAGTCAAGAATTGAAATAAAGCTTTTTTTCAAATCAAAACGAGAACAAACGGCTTTTTTAGAAGTGAAAAGTGGTTTTCAAATCAATTCTCAAGAACTATATCAGAAAGTAATATAAGAATATTACAAGAAGTATTACATCAGAAACATCAAAAAGAACAGTACGAAACACTTGATGCAGCAAGAATTCGATTTTTCTTTTAAACAAACAGCTGATTTAAACAAAAAGCCAATGTTAAAAACTGTGTTAGCAAGGAAAAGTAATGAAATTTTGAAACAGCTTTCAAGTTGCTCAAGCTTTGGTACAATGGAAATTAATATATAAAGTAAATTGAGGACTTTTCAGCCTCTTCCATCCGAATCGCCACTCAGCACAGCCAAGCCCGCCAAAAGTCCCATATTTGGCGTCACCCGAGGACCTGACGAGTCCAGAATCGTTGAACAACAATCAAAGGCGGGAATTCGACCCGGATTTGTACGAGGATCGGTGAGTGAATATATCTATTTATTTTTCAAGTCTCACTAATTGATTTGTTGATCGGGAAAGAGGCTCAAAATTTAAATGAACGATCGACAAGTATCATGAATGAGGGAAATGGCAGTTGATATAAAATAGTATGGAAAACTGTCGTTAGATGAAAGTTTTAAATCTTTTATTTCCTTAGACTTGAAACTAACTGTTTCACTTTAAGGAATCTTTGACCTAAATCTTGAACGAATTATTGAAAAACGAATCTCTCATCGAATCAAAAACGAGTTTCAAGTTGATTGGTATTAAAATGGGGGAAGAGCTTTCAATTATTCGGCTCTATAAGGATCAAACATTCCATTCCATCTTTCAATTGGGTCAAAATTTTCAGTTTTAACTTTAACCTAAAGATGTGATTTGAAAAGCATCGTAGTTCTTTTTGTATAATATTATTTGCTTTAAAAAAAATTGAATAATTAGGCAACTAGCTTAGTAATTACTTTTTAAATCTTTAAGTAAAGTCATTAAAGTTGTGTTTCACTTTAATGCGTTTTGAGTATTGTTTCAAAGAGAGGCTGGGAAATAGGAGGATCAATTTTTCGCTTTCCATCAAAAGTCGCTTTCCATCAAAAATCATTCACTACTTTTTTTGAGATTTTTGGATTTAATTCTCTGATAGACTTTATTAAATTTGGAAGATTTTAATGAAATTTCAAATTTCAAACTTTAGATACAATGATCCATTCGAAATCGAGCCTCGAGTGCATCAACGAGCGCCGAATCGGCAATCCTTTGAAGAACCGTATCCGGAAGACTTTGACGATGAAGAAAAGGAAGAGGAACATGAGAGAACGCCGATGTTGAGAAGTTGGAGAGGGGACAAAAACGAAAAAGAAAATCGTATTTCAGTTTTAAAAATAGCTTGAAAACGTCAGAGTTCATTATCGTGAATTCATGAAGGGATTTTTAAAACGGATATTATTTAATAACATTTGATCTTCTTCTAATAACTTGTTAAATTAGCAGCTTTCAAATGGGATCATGTTTAACTTCTCGCATGTTTAATTTAAACTTAGCCTCCTGGTAAGGCTTTAATTTGAAACAAGCTGAATCAAATTGAATCCAATTTGAATCCAATCTTTTTCCAGATGAGTACCGTGACGCGATCTCCGCGTCGCCCGAGTTGGAAAGCTCGTCGATATCCGAGTCACATCCACGGCTATTTTCATCGCAAAAATCGTAGAACAATTTTATTATTATTTTCACGCATTTAAACGGTCTAGATTCGTTTTTGGTTAAACTTTTTAATAAGACAATTTGTTAACAGATCATTGAAGAAAAAGTAACAATAACATTTAGAACTCTAGGAGTGAAAACTCGCTTCGTAGTTCTGTTATTTTTGTAAGCCATCTTAGCCCAGAGCCCAGCCAGAATTCCGGCTCAAACCTAGTAATCCAATCAGGTTCCAGGGTCTATTAACTAGACCAAAAGTCAATCCAGGCCAGGCATCTGATCAGCTCAGAAAATCTTGTGAGACATCTAGAGTACAGCAGATCCGGTGCTTGGCAACAAAAATTAACTTCCAACATTCTGGAAAGTTGAGAACTTTGATTAACGTCAGAAATCTTGAAACTTTGTTTTTTTTGTTTGTCTTTTTGAAGTCATTGATCAATTTATTGTTAGAAATACGCTTTTAAGCTATTTTAAAAGCTTCTTCTTTAAAAATTGTGTAAGTTTTTCAATTTTGGGCTCAATTTTCATCAATTACTTTATAATTTTTGTATTTTTTTCACTTTTCCAACTCGATTTCCCTTTCACTGTACCGGTGCTTTCCTCTGTGCTTTTTTTGACTTTATTCTTTTAAAATATTCTCCGCTTCCGATATTTCTTGTGATCAGAAAGGAATTCCAATTTTTCATAATCATCTAGCTATCAAATTTTTTTAGGAATCAAATTTACATGTTTTAATTTCATAAAACTTTTTATTAACAACACTTTCACAACAATTTTGTACAATTAACAATGGAAAAATCAACGCTTTGCCTGGAGTGAATTGAAAGAAATTGAAATTGAAATTTTACTTTATACTTTGAAAAGTTGGAATAAAATCTCTAACTTGATCAATTCAAAAAAGAAAAATTCCAACAATACGAAATCATTGTCAAACGAAAAACGTGATTTTAATAGTGAAATTTTGAAACATTAAAATTTGAAAGCAGATCGAACTTTTAAAAGTACTTCAATGATTTTTAAAACTCTCCTTAACACATTTACACGACGATTTGATCGACCGAATCGATCGTACCAATGACGATATTTTTTGGTGTCAACCTTTAAGCACTTTTGTTATTTATTTTGCAGAAAGTTCTCGATAAAAAGACTCAGATGGGCTGTCCACGTAGCCAGAAGAACAGACGACAGATGGACGATACGGATCACAGAGTGGCTACCACGAGACCAGAAGAGGCCCATCAGAAGACCAGCAACGAGGTGGAGCACAAGAGTGGCAGAGACGGTCAGAGAAAGGATGGCTAGAGTGCAACCACCACCAGCACGAGCAAGTCGAAGACTTCGAACTAGGAACAATCAAGATAGGAAACACTGGATGACAATAGCAAGGGATAGAGAAATGTGGAAACAGTGAAACAGCTAACGAAATGTACGCCCAAAATACTGGCTTTGTTAAAAATGGCTTTCTATCATTCATTAGCTTTATTCTGAACATAAACCTCTGAAATTGCGAATATATAAATACTTTATTCAGAAAGAAATAAAGTGCGAAAACGACATGAAAAATGTACTAGATGAAAGATCACAAAGTCACTTAAAATGCAACGAAATAGCCCTTTTAAAATCAGACACGGTGGAGATCAAACGCAACTTGTCGGGAAGGGCATTCCAAACTTTAGTCACACGATTTACGAAAAAAGCTCTAGAGGATTTAGAGAAAGCAGATTCGGGATGCAAGATAAAAGAGCCACGCCTAGTCGCCAAAAAGCCTCGAGTTTAGTCGAAAAAGATTTTTAAAAAGAGGGTTTTGATGTTTTCCTTTTACAATTTTAAAGCACTCAACCAAATCTATGATAAGACGGCGTTGTTCTAAGGTTTCAAGTGAGAAAAGTTTCAATCTATGTTTATACCTGACGGATGAGTAGTTAGCAAAATCAATTTTGAATAGTGCTATTCGAGTAAAGTTTTTCTGAACTTTTTCAATTTTGTCGATTAGGGATTTAGAAATAGGTGACCAAATTAAAGAAGCATACTCGAGGATCGGGCGAACGTAGATAATAAAGCATTTCCTATATATATATCAATATCTGGTATGCAAATAGATCTAAGAATTTTGCCCGCAAAAAAGGACGCCTTCTTACATATTTTTTTCTATGTGTGTAGAGAAATTTAGAGGAGGTGATACAGTACTGGACAATGAAATATCATATTTGGAAAACGATTGCCACTTTCGCGCGTCTGTAACTCCCTTGTCTTTGAGTTTAAACTATTAGTGTTATACATTCTCTGAAAGCTCTTTTCAAGGGCTACACAATGGTAATATTAATATTTAGAAATACGATAAAGACAAGGGAGTTACAGACGCGCGAAAGTGACGATCTTTTTTCAAATATGATATTTCGTTGTCCAGTAGTGTATGTAGACTCCTAAATCGCGAAGAGATTCATTGTTAGCTATGGACTTTATTGCGGCATCACCAATGTAAGGGGGACTTTTATTTTACCTGTACTAAAATGAATAGATTTTGAGTGAGAAAGTTTTAAACCCCAAATATTGGACCAAATTTCAACTGTGCTCAGATCTTTTTGGATTTTATGAAAGGAGCTACCCAGATTTTTATTTATATCATTTAATGGAGTCTCAAAAATTAGCTTAGCATCGTCGGCATAGAGCCATATCTTGGAGAAAGGTGAGGCTAGATTTAGATGAGGTAAAACGTTGATGTAAATCGTAAAAAGTAGAGGTCCTAAAATGCTTCCTTGGGGCACACCGCTAGTGCAGGCATAGGAATCAGACATGCAATTATTTACCGAGACTTTAAAAGAGCGATTTGTGAGCCAGGATGTGATACATTTTATAACATTCGGACAAATTTTATACTTCTTCAGCTTATGAATCAGAAAAGAGTGAGGGACAGTATCAAAGGCTTTAGCATAGTCGAGAAAAATAGCATCAAGTTGCATTTTGTGCTTATTCTCTATAGCCCGGACAAAATCTCTATAAGATCAACTGGTCAACTGTGGATTTGTTTTCCAAAAAGCCGAATTGTTGTTCGGATAAAAGATTGTTCATGTTTAGATGACTGATTATTTTATTATGAAGATGCAACTTGATGCTATTTTTCTCGACTATGCTAAAGCCTTTGATACTGTCCCTCACTCTTTTCTGATTCATAAGCTTAAGAAGTATAAAATTTGTCCGATTATAATCTCAAAAAGTTTGGATAGGGGTGAGGTCAAGCCAATGGGTCGGTAGTTTGAGAAATGATTTTTAGGGGAAGATTTTGATAATGGTATAACGAAAGATTCTTTCCATTCGAGAGGGATTTCTGCATCGATCAAAATTCTGTTAAACATTTTGCAAATTTGATAACCTAGAATTCTGGAAAGACCCTTAACGAAAAACGGGGATATACCATCGGGGCTAACACTCCTTTTAGGTTTTAGTTTCCTAAAGGCGTTTTCAATGTCTAAGAGTGTTATGAGGGAGCTTGGTTGGTCTGGGAAGCTTTTAGTAATAACTAGATTTGGTGGGTTTACGGCAAATGGGACATTTTCAAAGGTTGAATGAAAGAATTGAGCAAAAAGATCACAAATTTCCTTTGGTTCAGTTATAAGTTCATTTAGTTTATTTGGGTTTACAAAAGCTTTGGGCAAGTTTTTATGTTCTTTAGACTTGGAATTTATATAACTGAAAAAATGCTTAGAATTTTGTGATCTAATGGCGCGTCTTTCAATATTTTGCTCGAATTTCTTGCAAAAGCGGGATAGTTTTACTTGCGCATTACTTACTGAAGGGTCATCTAAAGGATTCCCAAAAGAAGATGAGTTGAGGAAACCGTTAGCCTAAGTTTAGCCCTAGCGATGTGTGAAGGACATCTATTGAAGTTATGAGGACAACTTTGCTCAATAGATTTTAAGAAGAGATTTGTGAAAATGTCATAATCCGTGTTTAGATCATTATTGGTGTCATAAATAGATGTAGAATTTAGTATTGGATAAAAAGCTAACGCCGCCTTATCGAGATTTGCACAAAAATGAAAACACCTGGGCTTCTTGTTGATAGGGGCGGGCTGGTTGATCAAAATTTTGAGGCTGATGACGCTATGATCGGCTCCAGGAAGAGGCACAAGTTTCTTGACATCCCGAATTCGTCTCCCATCATCTGCTATCACGACATCTAAAGTAAAGAAAGTAGGAAAGCAGGAAAACGATTGAAAACATGTAAACCGTTAAGAATCATAAAATCTTTAAGCATCAATGAAGGTCTGTGATACAAAGCGTATACGGGGATCGAATTCTTCCACGTGATTTTACAATTTAGATCGCCCAAGAGAATGTTGCAATCATATTCGTGAAAATGAAGGGCTAATAGGTTAAAAATAGACTCTGTGGCTGAAAATGCAATATAATTTGAGTCAAGGATTGAAATAAAGCTTTTTTTTCAAATCAAAACGAGAACAAACGGCTTTTTTAGAAGTGAAAAGTGGTTTTCAAATCAATTCTCAAGAATTATATCAGAAAGTAATATAAGAATATTACAAGAAGTATTACATCAGAAACAGTACGAAGCACTTGATGTTGATGAAGCACAAATTTTTGTTAACATAAAAAGGCAAATTGCTTGTTTTAAGAATGAAAATGAGAAGAGGATATTGGAATTTGAGTCAAGAATTGAAATAAAGCTTTTTTTCAAATCAAAACAAGAACAAACGGGTTGTTAAGAAGTAGAAAGTGATTTTCAAATCAATTCTCAAGAAGTATTATATCAGAAACAGTAGTAGATACAGGTACAATATTATATCAGAAACAGTAGTAGATACAGGTACAACATTATATCAGAAACAGTAGTAAATCAGAATCAGAAGCACTTGATGCAGCAAGAATTTGATTTTTCTTTTAAACAAACAGCTGATTTAAACAAAAAGCCAATGTTAAAAACTGTGTTAGCAAGGAAAAGGAATGGAATTTTGAAACAGCTTTCAAGTTGCTCAAGCTTTGGTACAATGGA